ATTATCCAGTACCTCCGAACCATATCTATAACCTCTAGTGTGTTCCCTGATCATATGAATGTTTTATCTGATTTATGTTCTAATTTATGCACTGAATTCTATTATGATATTTGATCTGAATTCTGTTATGATTTATGCTCTGATTTCTGTTCTGATATCTCTGTTACTGAAGGAAAATGTTTTATTCGGGCCACTCTGGGATCTGGTATGAAGACTCTGGCAGGTTCAGTCGATATTGGTAATTCATTAGATATGTTCAACATCGAATGGTAATTCCTTATAGACCAAAGGCTACTCTTGGATGGGCTCTGCGGCCCTAAGATTTTTCTTGTGTAATCCTCTGTGGCCCCGAGAATTGTCTTGGGTAGGCTCTCAGGCCCCAAGGTAATCCCTTAGGTTGTGCAATTCTGCACATGGCGTTCGGTTGGAGGACGATTCGGAATTAAAAACTCCTATGATGTTTTAATGACTGTGATATGTACTGATTTTAAAAAGCATAATTGTTTTACATGTTTTGCGGGAAAATCTTTTTTATTTTTAAATATTGGTAAAGTTTACTTTTGTATTTATAAATGATTTTATGAGTTTACATCTTTTAATAAAAGTTTTAAATTTTCTGCCATTTTTACGGTGGGTCACTCCGGTGGCTTTAATGTGACACCCCATTTCGAATTGGGTTACCCTCATCGGTCAAAGGGGGTTACAAAGAAAGTTCTACACAATATTTGCTTCTACGCCAACTTCCTCCTGTAGCATTAGACAACTATAATGCCCTAAATATTGGATAAAAGACTTCATTGAAAATATTTCAAATTTGGTGATTAATTTGAATAAATGCTAAAAGATGAGAAAATGATTTCGAATAGTGTTTTGAACTAAATTGTATAGAAAGATGAATAAAGATGGCATTTTGGTCCTTTAAGGGGAAAATGAATTTAAAATTCATTTGTAATAAGATATTAAAGAGAAGGGGAAGGGGAAAAGAAATTACCAAAAGCCATCTCCCTTTTTTCTTCCTCTTCTCCGTGGAAATAGCTATTCCCCATAACAAATGTGAGATTTCAATTTGATGGTTTATCCTTTTATTTTTGGGTAGTTATTGAAGCCTTGAGCATGATAGAAGGTATAAAAGACTAAGGAAGGATTAGATGGGATTAAAACTATGAGATAAGGGAAATAATGAAGATTATAGAAAATGGGTTTTGAAATGATATGTTAATATGTGAGTATTTATTGATGTTTACTGGTAGATTTGACTTGTCAAAGAGGTAATTGAGAGATTAGAAGCATTAGATAGGATTAAGAATATACTAGGAAAAGTGGTATGAATCTTAGAATTTAATGTTCTTGAAATATTTTAGATGTTTTAAGAGGCTAAATGAAGGAATGTTAGTATGGAAAGTTAAATAAGAGTTTAATAGCATTGTATGGTGTATATATAACGGAATTTAACCCCATTTGGATGATAATCGGGTTAAAAACTAGAAATTCTAGGCACGAGTATCGGTACTGATAGAGTAGTACCAATACTACTGGTTAAAATAGGATGAATATGCTAAGTAGTATCGATACTGATTCAATCGGTATCGATACCTGGAGGGTAGTATCGATACCGAAGGGAAGGTATCGATACCATTTCATAACAGAATGCAAAAATGGTATCGATACCATAGCATAATATCGGTATCATAGTATGGTAGTATTCATACCATGGTATGGGTATCGATATTGAGGAACCAGAAATTGTAAGATATGTTGATAATGTTGTAGAAAAGTTAATAATAGGTTCTATTGAGTAATGTTTAAGTGTAATTGTTAGGAATCATACTAATAATTGATATTATATATGTATTTAATGGATGCTAGAGTAGATCGAAATCAAAATCCCAAAACAAACAAAACAAAGGGCAAAGGCAAAGGACCTCTGTAAGAAACTTTAAATTTTGGATACAATAGCAAAGATAGCCAGGTGAGTGCACTTAATTGTGTAACTATATGTTGTACTAATCATATATGTATGATTTCTTAATATGTATGTGGTGATTACCAAATAGGACTAAGTGTGCATTTCACGGAATTCATCATACGTGGATGAATAACCGTACAGGCACGATGTGTGCAAATCCACGGAATTCATCATGAGTTAATGAATAACCATACAGGCACTATGTGTGCAAATCCACATAATTCATCATGAGATGATGAATAACTTACAAGCACTATGTGTGCAAATCCACGGAATTCATCATGAGTAGATGAATAACCATACGGGTACGATGTGTGCAAATCCACGGAATTCATCATGTGTTGATGAATAACCGTACAGACACTATGTGTGCAAATCCACGGAATTCATCATGAGTTGATGAATAACCATACATGCACGATGTGTGAAAATCCACAAAATTCATCATGAGTTGATGAATAACCGTACAGGCACTATGTGTGCAAATCCACAAAATTCGTCATGAGTTGACGAATAACCGTACAAGCACTATGTGTGCAAATCCACATAATTCATCACGAGTTGATGAATAACTGTACAAACACTATGTGTGCAAATCCACATAATTCATCATGAGTTGATGAATAACCGTACATGCACAATGTGTGCAAATCCACAGAATTCATCATGAGTTAATGAATAACCATACATGCACTATGTGTGCAAATCCACGGAATTCATCATGAGTTGATGAATAACCATACAGGCATGATGTGTGCAAATCCACGGAATTCATAATGAGTTGATGAATAACCGTACATGCACTATGTGTGCAAATCCACGAAATTCGTCATGAGTTGATGAATAACCGTACATGCACTATGTGTGTAAATCCACAGAATTCATCATGAGTTGATGAATAATCGTACATGCACTATGTGCGCACATCCACAATGAATGGTTCTTTAAAATAGCTCTTACTATTGCTTTTCCTCGCTTTTCCCTCTTGAAAGTTAAGTTCCAAGCTCTCCCATCATGGATAAGGGAAAAAATAAGACATAATGGGATAGCATGGAACCCAACTTTCATGAGGGAAAAGGCAAGCAAGAGCCACATATTTGGGTGCTTGTCTTTTTTCAATTACCTTCCGACATGTTACCTCTATAAAATACCAACAAGTATATACGTAGTTCAATTAAGCATATAAAATTTATTAGTATTACTAAGCACACATGACTACATATTAGGGTATATGTATATAAACTTGAAGCAATATTTCCCACCATAATTATACCTTAGGCCCACCCTCTGTCGGCCATAATTAATTGAAAATTTGTATACAATATAGTTAAAAGACTCTTAATACACTAACCATAGTTGACTCTTTAAAGAAAACAAAACAATGAATCAATCAATTTTAGATGAAGAACGTTTCGATAAATTGCAAAGATTTTAATACATTTTGTTTTTTTAAGATTTCAGTTTCAAAATCTTGTATGTTATAAATTGAAATATTCGTCATTATATTTTATTTTATTACAAGTGAATCCTTATACTTTATAAAAATTTGAGACATTGTTATAGATTTTAATCAACACTTCAACTTAAATCATTAATTTATTACATGTATATTTTGAAAACCTAGCTTTTTAATTGGCATTTCCATTTCATCCACATGAAACCACAAAAGAAACATACAAAGAAAACTAGAAAAACATCCCATTGGCCATGGTGGTGATGGTTCCATCCGTTCTCAAGAACACAACCAACGTGAATAAATATAGAAACTTATGTTAACAAAGGTGGTTGTTAAGCTGGTACCTTGCACCACAAGTTTCCCTAAGTGCACCACTGCTATCATGTAAACACAATGAATGCAAAGTAGGAACTGAACAAGGTATAGAAAACTCCCTCGTGATTTTGATGAAAGGTTGGAGATGCAAGATTGCCTTGGTTGCTAGTTTGTATCGTATCAAGTTATTTGTCTGCGTCATATATTTTTGTTGTTTTTGTATATAGGATATTTTGCATTTAGATTTAATTGCATTGGGACAATGCAAACTTTAAGTGTGGGGATTGTATATTATTTGAAGGAATTCTAAACTCCATCTTGCATGTTCTTGACCTTAGGTGTAGAATACGATAGTGTAATCTACTGAGTAGAGGTTAAGTGTTAAATATATTCGATGCATAAAAATCCTAAGTTAGATGAGAACTTTTTCAAATAGGTTAGTGGAACCAAAACAACTTTTGCGCTGACAATTATGTTTGTAATTCTAGGATAATGAAATAGTAATTTTTTATAAACACAAACACTCTTCTTTAAATGTCTTATCACATATGATACACGATATATATATTTTAAAAATATGTTTATTTCTTTTATAAAAAATCTGTGGGGATGTGGGGACATTGTTTTAAAAGGGAATACTCCGTTGCAAACACGCTCTATGTTCTCCCTTCATAAGTATGTGTCGAAGCAACGAATGTGCATCCTGGGGGTTTGTCACACCCCATCGTTACTTCTCAGGCTCAAAGGAACCCTGATTCTAAGTATCCCTTGTTGGCCCAAAGCTTTCTATATTAGGTTTAGATATTTGTGATAGGTACTTAGAGCTTAAATTTGGAGTTTGATGTATTGATCTAATGGAATCCACCCTTTGATTTAATCTTGTGGATGTTGGCGCATTAGATAGGTTAATTTCTATGACCTATCTACCTGGAACTTGTTTGACTTGGGTAGCAAGAATAGGAACACGTGAAGCCTCTTTAAAACTTGCTATTATGATTATATTATTCTGTTTACTTGAGGAAAAACAAACGTTCAAGTGTTGGGATGTGATACTACTCTAAATAGCATATATTTTTCCCACATTCTGAGCTTATTTTGTCCCTATATCATTCATATCATACCATTTGTCACCTCATTCATCGCACTCACATAACATTTAGAGTTTAGATGTTATAACATTGCAGGTTTACTTCTTATTTACATTTTCTTCTTAGTTTCTCCTTGGATGCACGTCAAATGGTTGAAAGACATGTGCTGATGTCGTAACAATATACTAGATCTGTACAATAGTGTAATACAAAAAAAATAGTCGAGAACCCCAATTGAAAGCTATTATGGTGGAATCTCCCTAATAAAAATTAATTTAATATAATGTGGACCAATCATTAATATATCAAATATTAAACTAATAAAAACATATACTACACTTGATGTTATCTAAGAGGCCGAGAAAGGTATGCGTTTCCGAATATAGGATTATATCACACCTCAACCTCAGCCTTGGGTTATGCGTTCCATATGGGATTTTGGAATAGGTCTGAAGAACAACTATGGACAAAAGCCTTGAGTATTCGAATGAATTTGTGTAAGAACATTTTTGGATATTATAAGAGAAGTCCACTTATTACAATCGAAGTTGATGAAAACGTGGAGACTTGCAATTATGCATTAATAAGCTCTTAAATAAGAATAATATTACATAAAATGTAATTCTGCTTGGGGTTGAACGGCTCTCTTTGGGTTAAATACTTATAATTGCTATATATATATATATATATATATATATATATATATATATCAATTCTCATAATTTAATCATCGGTGGTTTCAAAATCAGAAATTCTAAATCTTTTATCGCCTCGGGATTTAAAATAGGTAACCATGATGTTTTTGAACAAATCGAGTATTTATCAAATGAATAAGTAGTCTATCAGATCTAGGATAATGTTTTAGGGTTATTTAGTTATTATTGATCCCGAGGATTAGTAACCGATTTTCAGACCTTCCAACCGATTTACAGATCTTCCAAACAAGTCTGGAGTTTAATTGGTGGATCTGTAGTTCTATCATGTTAAGAACGATTTATCAGGTTAATTCCCCCATTCGAGTCAATTTCATTATCTTTTTGCTTCATAAGAGTATTTTCAAAATTTTCTTTCCAAAAATTTTTGACATCAAAACATTTAACAGCAATATTCAAAGTTTAAAGATTCTAAGATTAGTTCCTTTGTCTATTCATCCCTAACCTTAATTTATTTCCTATCACTCATCTAATTCCTTTGGGTAATTCAAACGAGTTTTAACCAATTTATTACTTAAATCGTATTCGGTTCGAGTCCATCTAAAGACTATTTTTCATACTAAGCGTATTAACACCATTTCAAACAATTCTGTCAGTGGCATTACTTTCGATAATTTAGGCTTAAAAGTATTATAGTTCCTTTAGAGTTCAAGGCACTTTGTTCATTTGATCATTGGAGGTTATTTTCACGACCAGGGGAAGCCTTGGTCATTTTATAGTACAAGGGCATTTTCATAATTTTACCTTATAGTGCTATTTTTGAAAATTTCATATCCAAATATTCACAACATTTAACCTTTAACGAGATTAATTAGAATTTATGAGTTCTGAGATTGATTGATTTACTGATTAAATCATTTAACAGCTTTTTTCCGATCGATCTACCAATTCCTTGTTCGAGCCGTCAGAGTCTTATACAGTGTTCTATCTTTATTCCAATTTCCGTCTGAGTCCAATGACAGTTAAATACACCTAATGGACCAAACATTTACATTCATGAATTTACCATTTATAAATGAGTTTTGAAAATCATACAAAAGGTAGTAGAGTATTACCTCGATTTTTATGCCATATCGATCAACCATATAAACTCCATTCAATCACCCTCAAACTTGAATCTAACATCTAATAATTTCTTGGAAACATAGCTAATGAGTTTATGTCATAAACTAAACTTAATTGAAAAACCAATTTGAATTCGGAGATAAAACATTGAAAACGGTTTACCGAGTGCGAATTTGGCAAAACAGACTTCAGGTTGGACTTATAACATCGAAAAACATAAAATATGACTTTTTAAAAATTTTGACTTTCCGGTCAAAGTCAACGGGTTGACACGGACGAGTTGACTCGGTCGGGTTGACTCAGACTAAATTTACTCGGTCAAGTCTAACAGACCCTATTTGGGCCTATTCAAGCTATCTAAACTGGTTCCAGAAGTTTCCTGGGTCGGCAGAGGATCCCACACGCACTATCGGTGCTTGGCGTCACGTGCGGTGCTGACAGAGGTCGGGGTGATCAACTGATTACTCTTTGTTTCAATACTAGCCATAATCGCTCCAAATCAACATCAATAATCAACTAAAACCAAGTAAAAATTTGTAAGGAAAGGATCGAAGTTCATTATCAATGGTGTCCAAAGAAAAAAACGAAGATAAGGGACACCACCGACTGGTTTCTAACCGCGACTGAATGGGGAGCTCGATGGTAAGGGTTGTGTAACTTAACGGGAGTAATCGAACACCGTTATACAGTTCCCTAGAACTGCATATATAAGGACTTACCTTGAGTACACAACAAAGGGAGCCACCCTAAGGTAATGCTTTGGTGCCCGAGAGCCTACCCAAGAAAGTTTCCCGAGGCCTCGGAGCCTACCCCAGTGTCACCTTAGGTCCGTAAGGATTTACCAGCTTGATCGGAGCTGAACCTCCATACTCCAGAATCCCACCCATACAATATCCAGTAGAAATCCTTTTTAACAATAAACCATAATTTTTGGATCGTGATCCAGTAAAATCTCATAAACATGATAATGAAATAAACCATATAACTGCCATCCACCCGTACAACATATGTAGTCCCATGATTAACCCAAAGGAGTGCCTTGGGGCCTAAGAGACTACCCAAGAAAGTTTCTCGGGGCCTCAGACCCTACCTAAGGGTCACCTTTGGTTCGTAAGGATTAACCAACTTGATCAGAGCTGAACCTCCATACTCCAGCCTACCCAGATAAATCCTAATAAAATATTTCAAGTAGTAACCAATGGAAATAGAAAACCATAGTTCATAAACCAGTAAAATCCATGATTCCATAAATCAGGAACATTCATTTTTTCAGTGAAAACCATAATCAGAGAACACATACCATGTAGCCATGGTTCATAAACCAGTAAATCAATAAATTTTGGTGAAACTTATTTCAAAACATATAAGACAATCATGTAGTTCATGGGGAACACACTAGAGGATCAAAGTATTTTTCGGAGGGACTTGGTAGTTACCAGGAATGGAAAACATGAAACTTATGTAATTTGATTGGATTCCAGGATCGAGGTCTTATAACAACTCTCGATGATGAAAGACGGTGTGGGTGAATCTCGTGGTGCTTCTACCTTTTCATTATCCACATGGATTTTCTGTGTACGAACTATATAGTTGTTTCAATTATGTTTCGTCATTAAGATGGTGTTACGACTAAGGCTTTCCTGGATGTAACCTTTTTGTAACAAATTTAACTCTTTGTTTTCTTTAAGATTGTTTGTTTGACGAGGTATGATGGAACCTTGAATTAGATTGGTTTAGTGTTGTTTTCTTTTGATCGGTGGTAATATACCAGGTGTGATGTAATCCTGTCTAGCACCAACTTTCTTCATGACATACTCACATCATTGAAGATCCATCAAGCTCAATCTAAAGGTGTTCTACCTTACTTTATCTTATATTTACCCATTTATGCACTTTAAATTATTATGAGCATACATTTGCATATTAGACTATACTTGAATTATCATTACATGTGCATACATTCATTATGTCCTATGGTTTGCATCATTGATTGATATTCATGCATATAATCTATAGTTATAATAATAATATCCATTTATTATCATACGACACATGAGTTATTATTATAACCTATAATCCATATCTTTATAATATACACATCATTATTACTTTAAAATAGTTCATATACTTAACTTAGTTTTTATGTTTTGAATGTAGGTACATTCGACCACAACTATGGGAGCTATTTTGAGCTAAATGGTGAAAGCGGCATTAAGGAAACTTATATGGGGACGCTTAGGAGAGCATAAGGAACATTTGGTGAAAAGTTGTCCGGAGACCAGTAAGCTCATAGCTGGATTGAGCTGAAGATTTTACCTACAAGATGACTTCAATTCAGCTGGGAACTGCATCATCATCATCACCTCTCAGGACAATTCAAATATGTCCTAAATCAATTTTTGTGAATTTTTACCTTTTTGCGAATAGTTGTCATTCCAAGAAGTGCCTTTCCAAAAGGAGTTGTCATAACGTTCATCATGTTGCAACTCACCTATGACCAGCTCACCTCCAGCTCATTCACCTTATAACTAGCTCAAACATGAAAGGTTACTTCCAAAAATTGTGACATTTCATGAATGTTGTTGTCCATAAAGATTCCCTTTCATCGTGGTGCACGTTGGTGAAGAGATAACATCAAATGGAGGCTTAAATCATGAAGAGACATGTGGCAAGTAGCATGCCTATTTGGCCACCACATGCCTTGCACATGAAGACTTTGGCACCAAGATGATCAATCACATCACCATTCGACAAAGGGAGATGACTTTGGCACGAATATGAACAAACATATCACCATTCGACCAATGGGAGGTTGATTCATGCATGGTTGAAACATCATGTTCCTTTATTAAGGATTAGTCGAACCGTCACCAAGCCTACGTACATATTCATTCACTTAATTAATTATGTATTTTCATTAAAAATTATGTACTTATTGAATCACTAGGTTCCTATCGGCCAAGCCCTCTCATTTCCTATAAATTGAGAGGTTGCTTTCATTTGTACTCATATCATTCATATTATAAACAACTTCTTTGTGAGTCAATCTCTCTTAAAATTTCTTTGAGAACTTTATCGATTAAGCAAGTATATTTTTATACTTGTGGCATCAAACCTATCACCTTGATTCTTATAATTCCTAGATTTCATATCTAGTGGGTTAAAGAAACCATTACCATCACTCAAGCAAGTTTGTGAAGACAGGGGATGTGCTCTCTAGCATAGCTTCTTCTTTGGCGTGTTTGAGATACACTTTCATCACCATCAACCATTCATCATCAACACAATCAACTATCTTCAATTGAAGAATATCATCATCATATCCAATTTCGCAACCAACTCTTACTTATCTTTTCATCTTTTATTTTACTTATCCATTCCCTTATATCATTACTAATACTATCTATTTATATTCTTTGTTGCATCCATACTTATAATTCAAGAGCATTACTTTTTGTCATTCCTAGATATGGACAATAATAAGGCTATCTATTCACTTCCCTTGAAGAGTGTACATTCGTCTATATCAAGTGGTATTCAGAGCATAGTTGGATTGACACAAAAGTGACATCAGCGTGCAACAAAAAAAAAA